TATGTGAGAACTGTCATAGTATCACAGTGCTTGTGTTCAAATAACCCTTATTTAACAATGGCTCCAAAGCACTAAAAGAGTGGTGATGCTGGCAACTGGGATATGCCAAAGCCAAGCCAGAAAGTGCTTCCTTTCAGTGCAATGGTGTGTAGATATAGGAAAAAACAGTCTATGTAGGGTTCCCTACGATCTCTGGTTCCTGGCCCCCACTGGGAATGTGTCCCCTGGGGAGAAGGGGGGACCACTGTATTTTCAGCAGTGGGAATGGCTACCTGTCCTTGCTTCTGGTTGGCTTGGTGGAGACAGCAGCACTTGACCTATAGGATGGAATCCCAAAAGGAAGGAGCCAGGCTCCCAAAGATGGAATCCCAGAGAAGTGGGACACTGTTCCACTCAGCAACCTGAAGGAGGAAGGCCTGCTAGGCAGGGAGAGGAGGGAACAGCTAGTTCCAGCACAGGATGGAAGCCAGTTTGACCGGTTCACTTATTTCCACCATTCAGTTTTCGCCCAAGAGAGACAGCGTGTCCCTGTGTATTGGTTCTGGAAAAAGGGAGGAAACTCTACCAGTTTTTGATCTCTGCATTTAGATTCTCACCTCTATAGGGTTGTACACTCTTAAGGCTGGATGTGGGGCGATGGAGGAGAAAGGACGCCAGGCGTGGTGGGAACAGACACAAGTCAGGGTCAAGCGTCCATGGGAACATGATGAGGAAGGAAAAAGACACAGAAATATAGGGAGAAGGCAGGGCCGTTAGTGGAAGCCCCAAGGGAAGGGGGTGATTGTCCAGGCTCAGCCACGACCAGCTGGGTCCAGCTTCCCATGACCTGCAGGAAGGAGATGAGTCTCCCAGCCCCCATCTCATCTCTCAGCTCTGGCCTTTCCTGTCTCTCTCTCTCCACTGCCCACAAGCCCACAGGTTTTATGTTCACTTTTCTGTGCTCTCATTATGCCCATGAGTATATCCATCACTGCACTTACCACTTGCTTTACCGTGATTTGTTTATGTGGCCATTTCTTTTGATGAATCTGTGTGCCTGGGGGCAGGGCCTGGGTCCCATTTATCTGGGAGCCCCATGGCCTCAACTGGCACCCAACATATGCTAATGCTTAGTAAGTGTTGAGTAAATGAGTACCTGTGCATTGTGACATAGGGACATCCTTAAGGTCACATATGTGACACTGTAGGTCAGGGGGTTATCTTCCTACGTGAGGGTAAACAGGTGGAGGGTAGAGGATGAAAAGATATATATTGGGTTGTCGGAAAAGTCATGATGCATTTTTGCAACGAAAAAGAGAGAAAAAAATACGTCATGACTTTTCCAACAACCCAATATTTTTAAAGTGAACGGTAAATAGCTGAATGTTGACTATCATTTCTAATCAAATAAGTTTTTCCTTCTATAGATATGGGCAAGGTACAAAAGAGAAATCAAGGCAGTTAAATAAATAGGAGACAGACCTGTGCCCCCTCCACCTGCCCAGATGACCCAGGTGGAAGTGGATGGGAAGTGGATGGGGGCTGCATGGCCATTCCGACTCTCCACGTGAGCCAAGCCGCTATGCTTTGGATTCTATTCCACTCTTAAATGGCCTCCCCCTTGGGAGGTTCTTGTGGCAACCATTAAAAACTTTGCCAAAACAATAATCTTCCCAGAATGGCATCTGTTGGCCATTATTAGTCAGCCATTAAGTAACTTCCTTGGTAGATGGAGTCTCTAGCTCAGCTACTACTACTTTAGCCAGCAGAACCAGGGAACCTGGAGGGTCCAAAAGTCATTTTTATCCTAACACCTTTGAACCAGAGTCTTCTCAAAACGCAGGACGAAATTTGACACCTCAGAGAGACAAAAGGAAGGGAAAGGTCTTGGTTGGCCCTTCCTTCTTTGAATGGCCATCTAAGGTGGCACAGGGCTCTGCCTTTCTCAAGAGATACATTTTGTTTTGTGATAAAACACACATAACGTAAAGTTTACCATTTTAACCATATTTAAGTGTGCAGGTCAGTGGCTGGGAGTCCCCAAGATATTTTTAGTATTTCAGAATACCTGAAGGAAATCATAGACAACACTTAAAAGAGTTACAGCTGCCAGGTACACTGTCCTGGCCTTCAAGTTCTGTCATCTCAGGGTGGCAGCATGGGTATCTCATGCTGATCAGAAACCCTGACACCGTGGAGGGTGTTCACAAAAAAACAAATGAGGGCACAGATTATCATTTAAAACAACCAGATTCTCCCAGAAAGGAATGCTTCACAACCTTGCTACTCAAGGGTAGTCTGTTGAGCAGCAGCGTTGGTCTCACGTGGGCCTCACATGGGCCTTGGCTGGATGTTCAGAGCCCCAAGCCCCATCCCGACCTCTGGGATCAGGTCTGTTTTAACCATTTCCCCAATGACTTCTTTACATCTTAACACTTAAGAAGAACTGCTTCAATACGAGAAATCTATGGAGAACAATAAGCGGGTACTTTACAGTGAACAGCTTGGGAATTACTCATTGATGAAAGTAAAACCATGAAGTAACCCACTAAAACTATCAAAGAAATCAGTTTTTTTAGCTGGGGGACTGTTACTGGTACAGAGCCCTTGTATCCATCAAGGTTGAATTCCACGCCACCATAATGAGAATCCTGAGACTCTTAGCCTTCAACGAAGATTTGGCAGCCAAGCCAGTGAGGAAGCTGTCATCAGACATCCCAGTGACTTAACCCCCCACATGGTCTGTGCATCCCAAAGGAGACTGAGGGTAGGGTGGACCACCAGCCTTGCTCCTCTCCCTCTGAAGTCCAGCGTGGCCCACCTGGGCCCAGAGGGTTCAGCTATTACACCTCAGACTAAGGCAGGTTTCTCTCTCTACACAGGAATTCTCCTAGGAGCTAATCAGTTAAGAAAAGACAATTTCTCCGTATGGTTGTAGTTCTTTTCCAAATTACTGTGGTCCTTTGAAAGAAATACAGCAAATTTCCCCCAGATTTTAATACAGGGCAGTAACTCCTATAATTGTGTGGAAGCTTATTTCTTGCTTTAATTAATAATCCATGAGTAAAAAGGATCGGAAATACACTGTAGCTAAGCTTAACGCTGTTTATGTGCAGTTAGGCCATCAAATGTTCCCAAATTCTGAGATTGTTCTGCAGAAGGGAAGCAGGCTCAGAAGTTACCTAACCTGTGCCAGGTCGTCAGGCTACAAAATGATGGAAGCTGTGGCTCAAATCCAGGTGTATCTCACCCCCGACCTACAGCTTTGCACACCAGCATCCCAGGAACTGCATCAGGCTAGCTGCATTTGTATAAGAACGACTCCAGGTTGATGCCACCTCCTTGGCCCAGGTCACGTCCGCTCTGAGGCACATACGGGACACTGACAGTTACAGGCTTTGCAGGCTGCGAGGGTCCTTACAACTTAGATGGCATGGGAAGGCCAGGCAGGTTAACATCAGAGGCTTTTGCATTTCCTGATCTCTCAGGCATAAACATAGGACAAGAAAGGCCGTTGTTTAAAGGTATTTCCTGCTGAGTGAAACCTAGGAAGTACTAGAAACCTGAGGGACATCTGATCTGGTAGGGGTTTTTCCAACCCCACTCTGCCCTTTCCTTGTTGAGAAAAAAATCATTCCTGTGGGTCCAGAGGGCAGGGAGATGCTCTGCAGCAGTGCCACAGAGCAGCATCTCGCCTCCATTTTCCCCAATTCTTCACGGCGCCTGAGCCATCCAATTAGCATCTTGGTATTGAAGAGAGGGCTTCTAATCATGATAATCCATGGACTCTGCCTCCGCGGGAAGCTCCCTCCACAGCAGCTGTCAGTCTACATGTCACACTGGGGCACTAAAGTGACCTCTCTCAGGATACCTGGGGTCTGGAGTAGAGCTTGGATGAATAGGATGCAGAACAGACACAACATGCTATGGCTGATAATGGCTGTAGGAGTCATGTTGCCAAAAATACTTACAACGTGCCTGGTGTTAAATGATTGTCAAAGAAATGATGGAGTTCGTGTCTTCAGGAACCTTTCACTGTTGTGCCAGGGACCAACCAAAACCAAAACACCAGTGCAAGTGTTGCTCTGTGTTTAGCCGAGCCACAAAATCAAGGCCCTGTGGAGGTTGGTCTATTAATGGTCTTGCTGCTGAGTCCATCGAAGCCTTCCTCACACTGGCCCCTCCCTCAGGTCCCACTTGGGCTTCTGCAGCAACTTCCTCCGTCCGGCCTATCATGCCGCCTTCTCCATGCTCCACAGGGCAGCCCGGCTGACAACTTCTAAATGCACTTGTTTTGATGACTCCCTTGTGAAAGCCTTAGTGGTTCCCAATACCTACACCACCTAGAGGAAGCCCGTTTCCTAGGCTGGCTGTCTTCCATCCCGTCTGCTGCCCCGTGTGCGCCTGACATTTTCTGAGCGCTCCCCTTCCAATCCTCTTTTGTTCATTCTCTTTGCTCTTCTCCAAATCTCTCATGGCTTTTAAGACTTGGCTCACGTGTCATAACCTCAAATACCTTTTTAGAAGTGCACTCCGTCTTGGGTCTCACTGTGACATGCCATGTGCCTGACTGCTACGGGTAGGGGCTGGAACCAGACAATGTGGGTTGTTATTCTGACCTGGCCACATATTGTGTTACCTTAGTCAACTATTTTATCCATGCTGTGCTTTAGTTTCTCATCTATGAAAAAGACAGTCATCAGACCTACCTCACTGGGCTGTTAGGAGTTAATTAGGGCAGTTCCTGGCATGTAGCAAGTCTGCAGTAAATATTAGCTATTAGCAACACTTCACTGGTGTCTTCTCATTTGTCAACTCTAAGATCTTTGACGTCAGTGACTATCTCTGGTCAATCTGTAAAACCTCAGGGCAAGTGGAGAGCAGGTGCTTACAAATATGCCTGAAGTGAAGAGCTAAGTTTTCAGAGATGAACATAAAGCTTGGATGACAGATTTGAAAAAAGCATTCCAGGTAGGGATGAGGACACAAGAATGTAAGAAAGAAATCTGGGTGGGAGGCATGAGAAGCAGCTTGGATGAAACAATGACCCTTATAGTGAAACAGGGAGCAGGAGAAGGCGGAAGAAAGGGAAGGATTGGGACTCTGCAACCAAGAGCAATTGGAAATGGTTCTGTCAAAGGGCCCCGTGGAGAACGCAGCAACTGACACACTGGATGCAACAGCGAATCAGGAGGAGAAAATTCTGGAGCAGAGAGTTAGAAAATATGAAAAATTTGGCACTTGTTTGTATGTAGCTACGACAGCTACTATTCCCAAACCCTTCTTCCTTAAAAAGAAAATGCAATTTTATGATCACAAAGAGGTCACTTTTTTTTATTGACAACTCAATCTCTACATACATTCATTATTGCACAAATTATAAGTGGATTGACAATTATATTAATATAAACTCATGAGGGTAAAGCTACTGCTCTAGGTTTTGGTGCGTTTTGTGCCAGGCATTTTAGTACATATGACAAAACATCAAGGAAGTCAGCTACTTCAATTCATAAGAATCAACTCTCAGAAAAGGCCTGTATGTCATCTCATAAAACACTTATAATAATATGTGAAACCCAGGAAAATAAAAAACTAAATGACAAAAGAAGGAATACTGTTAAAGAAAAAATGGTGATAATGTTAGGTTAAAATATTAGGTTTAAAAATTTTAGCAATTAGACTTAGGATCCAGAAAGTACATGTATATTGGGAATTTTAGGAAAAATACCCCTATGTCTGCTTCACAATTACTACTACATTCCGAACAGGCATCTCTGGGTTACTACAATGTCTCCCCTGCTTATAAACCCTGCTTCCTAGTTCAGAAGAAACATGGTAATTCACATAAATGGGTTTTAAAATAAGATTCTTCTCACTCAAAAGTATGACCTCCATCAAATTACATAGAAATCTTATTGAAATGTCAGAGAAGCCAGACCCATTTACCTTCACTGCCTGCCTCAGAGCACCAGGCTGGTGTGGCACCTGCAGAGGAGAGATGTGCGCAGTCCCTGCTCTGCAGTGTGCAGGTGGAAACGAGCCCTTCCGTTCCCCTGGGGTTTTGCTTCCTCAGGTATAGAATTGAGGGGGTGGGCTAGACAGCTTGTAAGAGACCTTAGAAATAAAAAGATCTAAGTCAGCTTGAGATCCCACCTTGAGCAGATGTTTAGGATGGCAAAAGAAATGGACAAAAAATGGTGGGTGAAGTATTTACCTTTTGATGCCATCACTCAGAACCATTCTGTACTGCAGTTCAAGGAATCTTTGACACTTTCATCTAATGGCTGGTGCTACTAAAGGGTAGGCGAATGAGGCATCTGACAAAATTTTGGATAAGAATGTATAAAGGCCGTTCTACGTTTAGAAAGGAGAATAGTGTACCACCATGTCACATCAGCCATCACAGGACTTTCTGCCTCTGAATTTTAAGAACCATCAATCTGGCCTGCATATGCACATTCAAGCCATTCAACAGGTATCTATGGAATACAGCACGCCTATTAAAGGGTTTCACGAAATCCTCCCAGGCAGGCACCTTCCATGAAACTGGTTCTAACAGAAAGGATGCAAGAGAATTAAGTGCAGGGTAGGATTTTTTTTTCTTTCTAGATCAGAAAAATGACCCAAAGAGAGGGATGGCCTCTCATTGATACAAATATCACTTCGTCCGGAATCTAACACACTGGCTTCATTTTCAAAATGCATCACTTTATTGTCCTCATAAGGCAGCCATGCACTATCAACCTTAAGCATGTGACCGTCATGATTTCATCAGTAAGCCCAGGGCTCGTGCAGGCTTTCTGGAGCTTGCAGCCACAGTAGTCTTGAGGAGTCAAATATTAAAGCTTTCTCCACAGCCACACGTTCCTTTGATGTTCAGGTTATTGAAAACAAACTCACTGGATAGTTTGTCTTCAACATAGTCCATTTCTGTTCCTAAAAGTGTTAGCTGTGCCTTCTTTTCGATGAACACTCTGACTCCTTGGGGAGAAGAAAACACGGGTCACATAAAGCCTACATGCTAACAGAACCTGCTGATTCAAAGCAAAGTGAACTTTAAATAGTAACCACTAACAAAAATCAAACAAAGTTTTTGAGTCTGTCTCATTAGTTCCTTTAAGGGATTCAGTGCTCAGTTTCCTGTCTGTCCCCTCTTTCAACACAATAACCTATGTCAAAAACAATTATATTAGGTTAGAAAGTTGTACATAACCAATTTCATGACAATTCTATGTAAAACTAGAATTTGCCTTTCACTATATTTCACACATTTTCCCCATTTGCAACATAAAGAAAATAGATATAGTCTCAGTGAGAGTTTTGTAAAGATGGAGTCAGTAACATTTATGAAAACCCTGCAATGACATCTGTACACACAACACACTATCACACCCAACGGCACACAGTAGGCTGTGGTACAGTGGACTGGTTTAATAAGACTAATCAGTGTAACACGGCAGTTCTGTTCTTCTGCTTACGGGCTGGGAGACTGGTCATAACATAACTAACTCCCTAGTGATCACGGAGGCAGAGGTTGGCATCTTCCTTATAAGAAATTGAGTCGTTACTTAAATATAAACTATACATGTTTATTAGTGCCCCTCTTCAAGAGAAAAATTTATGTACTGATTTAAAAAATAAAATCTAACAAATATCTTTTTGGTTAGTAACTTCAATTTAATAAAAAGAACTCACATGAGGACCCCATGGAAGCTAGACAACAGCACACCTCCGATGTACAAAGCCACCACTGCAAAACCCATTTACAGTGACGTTCCCTCAAAGTTGTAGTATTATCTATTTTGTTTTAAATAGGCTTTATCAGATTATTGTGTAGGGCAAAATATAATTAAAGAGTGGCAATTTTTAATTTAAATATTAAAATTGGAAATAGAGTCCTCAA